AAGAATTTGGATTCAACAGTTTTGCCGAAAAAAGTGAACTTCAGGTTGGTAGAATTGTTCAATGATTCAACTCAATGCTTTAAAAAATGATCTGGAATCAGAACTGTTCTGAACATTGGTTTCTGGGTCAACGGTTTGATCGTTCGGTTTAAATGGATGGCCTGTTCTGATAAAATAAATTAAAAACTAAAAAAATAATTAAAATTTAAAATGACCAAAAACTATTGAATGGGTTGAACGGTTTGATCGCCCAGGTCAATGAGTCATTGACCAATTCAGTGATTTTTGGTCAGGGACCAAATTTAGGGTAAAACGAAACTGATTGCTTAGACAGTTCCCGAGCCGAATGATTGGCTAGAAAACCATGATTCAACTAGAAATTCAGGATAATTTGTTGTTTAGGATGATCAGTTTCACTTATTTATGCCATGTTTGTGACATGCATAATGAATCTGGGCTAGAGTATCTCTCTTATATACATAACAGAAAGTGAGAACAAGATCTTCAATGATGTTGTACACAAGCGTCCGGGTCTATCTGCCCATGCACTCATTTGGTTTGATCTGAACATTTAGATAGATAATGTCTTGGATGTTTCTCTTGCAAAACCTCAAAATGAAAAGAATTTTGATCCTTCTCATTATTACAACCCTAGGATTCTTCCAAATTACCTTCCACTGCAGCTGGATATTTCCTTCATATTGTTTCCTTGACATTTAATTTGCAGAATTTTGTCCTTATCTGAGCAGTCAGCCATATATGGTCAAGGGTCAATGTCAACAGGGAATCAAAAGGTGTCAATGGTACTACCAGATGGTTGATTGGGTTCTGTAAGTGGTGTTTTGTTCCATTGGTTCCATTACCAGAAAGAAAAACTCCTGAAGCAGCTTCTTAGTTATGTTTCTAATTCTTGCAGACAAAACAAGAGCCAGGTGCACAAGCTCTGCCACCTCCAGATTGGAAGAATGATCAGAGTAGTGGTTTTAGTGGACCTCAAGGATGAGGAGGAAGTGGCAATGGTAATGGAAGTCATGGCTGAAGGCACCAGCCCTGCTAGTGGTATCCAATTAGATAGTTCATGTTATAAGGGAGTCTTGTAGGGTAAGGCGGTCTAAACCTCTGAAGGTGCGATCTAAGCTGAACCAGCTGGTTCCTGGTGCCGATAGACTAGTTCTGGGCTGAGTGACTGACTTAGGAACCGAGCTTCCCCACTGTGTTAGGGGGACTGAGAGTTGAAGGTCAAGCTGAACTGGTTGATCAGGGTAGCCCCTGAGGCTGGAGCAGGTAAGAGAACTTCGGAGGGAGGGAGAAGCAACTGAAGCTTGAGGACTGGGGTTAGGAGTTGTGTTGCCTGGGAATTGAGTGGAGAGTCTGTTCTGGTCTGGGTGGGTCTTGAACTCATATCCAATATCTGGTCCTGCTGCTGTTGCACCTGTAGTTGGATATACAACTAGAGACTCATAGCTAACAGGCAAACGTGCGGACTAGGAAAATGAATAGTTCACATATTGAAATTTGTAAGTCTTGGTTCCAAAATTAGGATTGAGCTGTCATTTTAATTTAGACGCTAACTGATACAGTAATACTTAGTTTCATGAGATAATTGGTTCTAAATAAATTAACTTATGGGGTTTTCTGCATGCTGGTTGATTTTTTCTTTTACTTTTTGGCCATGGAACATCCAGGGGGAGGGGGGCGGGGGGGGAACCTGTTTGCTATTGCCTCTTTTTTTTTTTTTTTCACTTTAACTAACCTGTGAAAAAGATTCAACTTTTTTTTTTCGTAGCTGAGAAATTCATGTAGCCAACCCCATATAGTTGGGACAAGGTTTAGATAATAATTATGTTGATTGTAGCTGAGAAATGTAGCTTCTGAAAACTGAACCATGATTTTAACTCACAAAATGCTGATGTGGCATGGTAACTGTGCAAAACTGGGGAGCCGTCCACCATGTTTCTATAAGAATGCTTATTTTTTTTATTTTTTTTTCTGTTTTCTCGAAAGAAAATTAACTATTGGCTAAACACCCCACTTAGGCTATGTTTGGTTTGAAGGAAAATGTAGGGAAAGGAATGGAAAGGTAGGGAAACCTTTACAAACCTTATATTGGTTTCCCTGTCTTTCCCTTCCTTTCCCTACCTTTTCCTTCAAACCAAACATAGCCTTAATGATCTTGGAAATTGTGCATTGTATGTCATAGTAAGACCCTTCATTTGGTTGGGGAATTATGTTGCATAAAATTCAATTTGATTTTTCACCTTACAAGGCCAAGGATAGATCCTCCTCCCCAGTCCCCAGGAGCTTGTTCCCTTGAATAGGCCTAACCTCCATTGATCTGCATTGACCTCCAATATCATCTGAGGTGGAGTTATACTCAATATAAATCCTTCTATATATATATATATATATATTTTTTTTTTTGACTGACAAACTGTTAACCATGTATTGTTTAATTTTGAAACACCACTCATGCTTGTTTGCAATTTTTCAGTCTCAAGTCTCAACTCGACTAAGCCTTGCCCCAACTACATGGAGATGGGGCCTACTACATGAATCCTCTTCCACCATTCCACTATGTTATATCCATTGTTAAATTATGGGCCGTCAAATCATTTATCACTACTTCAACCCATATCCTTTTTGGCCTGCCTCTATATCCTTGAGACCCTTCAACTTGCAATAGATATCTTTCTTCTCATTAGTGCCATATAGATGGTCTTCTCTTGCACATGACCAAACCAATTTAGTCCACTTTCCCTCATTTTTATCACCTACTGGAGTAGACCTGTTCATGGGCCGGGCCGGGCTGGGCTTTTGCTCTTTATTAACATAAATTTTTCAGGCCTGAGCCCGAGCCCGAGTCCGGCCCTCATAAAAAGCCCGAAGCCCGACCTGGGAGTCTGAGCGCTGGTGCCCTCTGAGGATTGAGAGAATGGCGCCTGCGGAGTTTGTGATTCCTAGGAGTCTGAGAGTGAGAATAGAAACTGAGAAAGTGAGAAGATAGAAGATGACAACAGTGCCGGACAGAGAGAGAGAGAGAGAGAGAGAGAAAGAGAACTCACTGCTCAAGAGAGAGAGACGATCTAGATCTGGTGGCACCAGCCGCCGGTGCCTGAGTTCACATAATAAAAATAGTGCGCCTGGGTTCTGGAGGCGCCAGCTGGAGAGAGAACTGAGAAGATAGAAGACCTAGTTCTAAGAAGAGAGAGAACTGAGAATGAGAAGAAAGATGAAAATGGTGATGACTGGAGAGAGAGAGAGAGATATCACCGCCGAAGTGAGATATGACTACTTCTGGTGGCGTCGGCCGCCGGTGACTGAGTTCGCAGGTGCAGCTGGGTTCACCAGTTCTGAGAGTTGAGAGGGAGAAATGAGAGCCACTTCTAAGAGTGAGAGTGAGAAAGGAGAAAGAAAAGAAATTTTTTAAGTATTTAGGGTTAGGGTTAGGTAGTTTAGGAAAAGTCAGACCGGGCCAGGCTTTTTCAACAAATCCCAAGCCCGACCCAAAAAATAGTCGGTCTCGGGCTTTTAAGCCTGAGGTCAAGCCCGCGGGCCAAAACACATGCTCAAGCCCATTCGGGGGCCAGGTCGGGCCGGGCCAGCCCGTCGGGTTACCCGGCCCATGAACAGGTCTATACTGGAGCCACTCCTACACTCCTACAAATATACTTATTTCTGATCTTATTCTTTCTAGTTTTCTCATTTATCCATATATTGATCAATAATAGCTTCTGTTGTTAATAAGTTATCTGTTCTGGATCAGTGATGGTGTTTCTTCTTAAATTGGATAGGGTCTGTGTCTATGTCTCAACTCTTTAAAGAGTTGATTCCTGGAACGATCAATTCTCTACAATGGAGTAACTGACCGATAAATTTGGACCAAAGCCTCTTTTTTAATTATATGACATACAGAGTATATTCACCATCTATGGTTTCTTGATATGCTGCTGTGATAACTTGAGAAAATCAGTTATTTGGATCCATTTTCTGAGGTTGGAGAGCTGTAGAAGCTGCTAACCTCTCAACTTAAACGAACTGCGAGGGATCACCCCCAATTTGCTTGTGTATCTCCAGAATTCCTTGAGTTGCATATTGAGAACAACATGCTATAGAATCCTATTCTTGTGATCTAATTAAGAGGGTGAATTAGCACATGACTTTTATTTAGCTCAGAATGTATTGCAATATCAAGAAGCTAGATTTGCTTGATGTCAACTTTAGGCTTAAGACAAAGACTACGAGTATGGTCAGGCACCAAAATGTGGTAACCATTCTTAGCTTGCAACAAAGACAATTTGCTTTGGTTTTGACCGAGAAAATACATGGTTGTAACCTATATGATGTTACAATACTGGAAAAAACCCAGTGCAGTAATTTATTGGAAACCACATTATTGAACTTCTATGAGTATTGTTCAAGGCCTTCCATCACTCCAGATGACTGTGGAACAAATCATTAGTAGATATGTTAAGTAGAACAACATTTTTTTTATGGATTCTAAACTGGTGCCTAATTTTGAGGGTTATGGATGGGAAAATTTGTTGTTGATTCTGATGTAAGCTTCATGAGGCCTTCAGTTGTAGGTATACTTGGCTAAACTTGCTCACATTGGATGTGATTCTACAGTTGTTTATCTTGTCTTTCTTAAACTATGTAAATTAATAGTCCTCTTGGTTGTCTGAAAAAGTGACTTGCACAGATGTGGGACTATTTCCTTTCATCATTCTTTACAGAAAATTCCACTGCTCCAGTTAAATACTAATTAGAAAGAAGACTTGGTGTTTTCTCTTGGATGAGGGAAAGAACTTACAGAAGGCAAATAATGTTTTCTCTTTTTGCTACCTGAGCAAGGATGTGGGTTTCTCAATGGGAGATGAAAGCTGAAGGCACTGAAGGAACTCAATTTAGAGCTTTTATGTACTGAAGTCATTTCTATTGGAAGCTCTCCATGAGAGATAGGGAAGCATCTATCATTAATATGGATGATCAACAGGAGAAAATAACTGTTAAGAAATAGAGTAATCAACTCATTTTTTATATTTAACACATGTCCTTATTTTAGATATTTTATATGGAAATCAGACCTAAGGGCTTCCGATCTCCCCTTGAAGGATAGAAATTACATGGGACGATTGTTATCCATCAAGAGAAATGTAATTATATTCAGTCAGTTCGCTATTGATGTTGCAGCAGAAAAATATGCAAGAGCACCTACAAATGGAGCATTGATGTAAGTAGCTGGCTCAGACTGCTGATAGTTGTTCCTGTCATCAGCAAAGTTGTCTCTATTATCTGGACCACCCAATATGGCTCCAACAAGGACATTTGGGTTGGACAAACTGGAGTATAAATACTGGAACCCTTCATTGCAGGCAATGCGATTAGGGTGTGTATGTACAGATGGTAGGGATGAGCCCCTATGATGAACGTGCTGTGGATACCTCTCACCAAAACCCACCATGTATGACATCTTTGCTGGGTTCTGTCCCAAAATGTAGTCAACCTGCTTCTTTGCCAGTGAGATGAGGTTTGCAGCCGTTAGAGTTGAAGTCCCACAGGAGACAACTCCACCATTTGAGTTCAGATACTTGGCATATGTCAATAGGAGGAAAGCCATTGAAGTTGCATACTGGAGATTGCTCTCACTTCCTTTGTAGAGAAGTCCACCTGTTGAGCATGACATAAGACAATTTACAATTAGGGGGGTGTTCCTTTTTTTGGATTTTGAGAGGGGGGAAGGTTGGTCAATGGGATTTTGGATTTTGGTTCCCATTGACCAAGAATCCCATGTTCCTTTTTCAGATTTATGTGAGGATCAGGGAAAGTTTATTTTCCTAGGTATCACTTATTCTCCTACGCGGGTAAATAACTTTCCCACCTAGGGGAAAGTTGCCAATACTTGAATGGGACAAAAATTTCCCTTTTAATAATGGATTTTTATGGCTAAAATGGTCATTACCTTATTTACATGAGAAATTAAAGAACATGGGTAAATGCACTTACCCAGGTAGGTAAGTGCTTCCCAGGAAAAACTTATCCAGGTAACTGCATTTACCCAGGTAAGTAACTTACCGAAAAGCGAACAGGGCCTAGAAACCCCTATTTGGAAGGAAAGAGATGTGCACAGTGTTTCAGCTGACCTGTTGTATACTGGGCCTGAAAACTAGATGTTCCTGGAATCAGGGAGCAGATGTAATTGTCTGAATGTACTTTATATAGTTGAAATTCCTCGATGCTCTTCTCTAAGAAGCCCTGTTGGAGAATCACGAAGTTGCAGAGTATAAGCTTAATCTTGACAGAAACAGGGATTGAGTGAGAGAATATAAACCTTTGAAAGAAGGACTTTGGTTCCAACTCTCTTGTCATCCCAACTGAAGGAGTAGTCATCTTCATCTGCACCAAGAGTGTGGCCATTGGAATGTATGTAAGCCAAGTAGGAACCATTCTGTGAGGCCCTATGAATCCATGATGCCCCCCATAGTAGCTCATCCTGATATGAATAACCGGGATTAATTATTATTGCTATAATCATCATTATCTAAAACAAGATCAATGCAAATGAAAGAAGCCCCAGGGTAACCCTTACATGGTATCCAGAGTAAGAGCAGTAGAATGGGCACACCACTGAACCAAGGGAATCACTGTAAGATCCTCTGTACTGGTCTGCAAAATCAAATACCTGCAAGATCACAATTATTTTGCTTAAACTAATTGGCAGAAGCGGAAACTGACAACCACTTTAAGAACGTATTCAGTCATCAGTGTGGAATTATTTACTTTCATGGCAGTCTGAAGTAAATGGGCAGAGTATGAAGGATCAGAGTCCTTGAAAACAATTGAAGCAGCGGCCAATGCAGCAGCAGTCTCTGCTGCAACATCAGACCCTGGGTTGTTAGTAGAAACCTTGTATACATTACGAGGTGTATCCATGTCTTCAGGCCTCTCCCAGCAACGATGATCCATGTTGGGGTCTGCTACCTGTATTGTCCCAAGTCAGAGCTGTTAAAAATACATGAAAAAGAAAACACATGATAAGTTGCTAAAGTTATATATGGATGCTCCTGTTAAATTCATTTTTTGTTTGCTATTGATTCTTGTTCTGTATAGGCAAAGAGTTGCTGGTGCAACGCTACAGTCATGGGCTAAAGCCTGCTCAGTAGCTGATGCCTGATGGGTATTTGAGGCTGGTCAAGGTTTTGTTTTATCATTCATTCTTGACGTTAACATTCGTGGCTTGCTTTGCTTACTTGAACATATAATGTGTCAGGGGTGGCCGTGGAAGCTTTTAGCAGATAATCTGTGCCCCAGCGGATAGAAGCTTTAGCATGTTCCATCTGGTCCTGCATTGAACTACCAAACTCAATAATGCTCCATGACAACATTGTCATGCTGAAAGCCATGGGCAGACCAAACTTGACATTATCCCCTGCATCATAGTATCCACCCACTAGATCCACCTGAAACCCACCGCATCCAAGGAAAACCTTGGTCGTGTCAAGTAATTGTTTAAGTTGATACGACTTAAAAATTGGGAACAAATGGGCAATAAGAACTCATACATGATAAGAGGAGCCATCAGATAACCCAGAATCGCCCCTCCATGTGAGGTGCTGGTTGGATGGTAGTTTCCCTGATCGTTGTCCCTCGAAGAAGAGGATGGATTTCTCAAGGGCGTTATAGTAATCACGGGAATCCAAGGCAGAACAACACAGACTGAAGGCCAACCACACAAACTGCACTGATACAACTCTTATTGTAGAAACCATTTTTCCCCTGCACGTCCTCCTAAAAGCTTAAACTACTTGTCTAGTAGTGTCACGGTTTCTATGACTACTACAAAGGGAGGGAAGCTTGAGAGGTGGTGGTGGTGGTGGGGCTGATATTGTTGTAGGTGGGGAATGCAATTTATAGAAGTGGAGGAGGGCGAGCAGCAGAAGTTAGGGAGACGGTTGGCAGTTAGAATCGAGGAGAGAGAGAGAGAGAGAGAGAGAGGAAAATATGCATGGTGGTCACGGGATCAACTGCGCTAAACCGGACCACTTATTGTGGCTGTGGGGACAAGAAGCAAACACTAAGGTAACGGTAAAAAAATTAATCAAGCAAAGTCAAGACGCAGACAACAGACAAATGGTGACGTTGAACCCCATTTTCCTGACTGTGCTCCAAGTCTCGTGACGTTTCTTCAAAATATTCTGTAATAGATTGAAATAGAGAGAAATTAATTCTCATCCCACAACATTTGCATCGATGGTCTACCATTCTCTAAGCTCTCTGGACACGTGAAACTCCTCTCAATAGGGGGCTCAAATTAACTAGCCAAACCATGTAAATAGATTATTGGATGTCAAATAACCTATTTAATTTGCCCATATCTTTGTTGATCACTTGAACTTTGAGTCAAAACTTGGATGCTCTAGTGGGGAAATTGGGTGTTTAAGCGCCATAATTTGAGGCGTGGTGTGGGTCTCTGGGATTCCGCAATCCTTGTTCCTTTTTTTTTTTATTGTTTTTTTAACCAGTCTAATCTCCAAGTTGAATTGAAGAGAGGATGGATTTTGGCGTTTGTATGTTGCAGGGAAATCTTTCGTCCTTAGCAAGTCACGGATTGTTGCCTTGCCGCTGGGAGTGGTCACATGTATGTACAGCAGGCCAAAGCCAGGAAGGAGAAGTGATCTCAACTCTCACCGGTGGCTGAAGCATCAGCATCAGCAGTAGCCTGAACTATGCAATACAACCAAGTCCCAACAACAGAAAGACGAGAAATTAATAAATATTGGTGATGGGTGCAAGACCAAAAATGGCGTGAAACACTTAATAGTAAGAGAGAGAGAGAGAGAGAGAGAGAGACGTAGCTCTTGTCCAATGCTGAAAACACAAGACAAACACAGTTTTAGCAGCAAGGTCTTTGGGAGAGGTAATGGCACTGGTAGGTCACATGGATGGACTGGATGGCCTTTGCACGGGCCGGAAAGATTCATCTTCGTCTTCTGCGCAGGCGGTTAATTGGGTGACTTTTTATAATTACTATTGTCTTGATGTTCATCTCCCTTTGTTTGTCGTCATACTGGTCAATTGTTATTTTGGGCCCGGCTGAGATTTCTTACATCCTAATATTAAATCTGGTATGCTTCTGTCATTCTCAGGAAAACTGCCATACCAAGCGGCTTGATTTGGATCTCCATTTCTGACTTTGGGAGACCAGCAGCAGCATATAACATTGGATTCCCTCTCTCTAACCCATGCATTGAGGTGACGGCTCCGACAATAAGGCCAAAATACGAAATACTTTCTCTCAGTCATTCCCGTGCTTATTTCGATTGGAAATTTTATAAATATAACAAGATAGTCATTAGTCAATGGTATAAAGAGTGAAATCTTCCTCCTCTTGAATTATTATTATCGGTTAACCTTAATCGTGGCATTTCAGTATAAATAATGTATACCATATTATTTTTAAAACCCGGCAACTGGGTATAACCAGTTTGATCAATAATCAACCCCTTTTTTTTGTTGGGGGGCAGTATATTAATCATCCTCCTGATCGTCATATTGTGACTTGTGAAACATTATTATTATTATTATTATTTTTTGTCTTAATCACCTTGGCTTTGCCCAACTAATAACGGTTCTTGGGATTTAAGCTTTTAATACAGGAGGCATTCTTTCTAATACAGACTATCAAGTTGGATGGTTAGGAGCTCGCACAAAATGGTCATGGTGGGACAGTAGAACATGCTTTTTGTGTGTGTGTTACTTTAATCAGTGTTTAATTTTTCAAGCCAGATGTGGGACCTTAATTAATTTGTTTTTGGAACAGAGAGTCAACAAAAAAACATGCGTTGGCAAATACCACCTTAATAAGTTAAATTTAGAAACAAAACTCTGTTAGTCTTTAGACCCATTCGTTTTTCGGTAAATTATTTATCTAGGTAAATGAAATCATCTGGCCTAAGTTTTTTTTTTTTGGAAACACTTACCTAGGTAAGTGTATTTATCCATGTTCTTTTATTTCTAGTGTAAATAAGGTAATGGTCATTTTAGTCATAAAAATCCATTATTAAAAGGGGTATTTTTTGTCCCATTCAAGTGTTAGCAACTTTCCTCCTAAGTGGGAAAATTATTTATCCACCTAAAAGATGGGTATCACTTAACTAGGAAAATAAATTTTCATTGGTCCCCACAATAATCTAAAAAATGATCATGGTATTCTTAGTCAACAACCAAAAATCCCATTAACCAACTTTCCTCCTCAAAATCCAGAAAAGAATGCCCCTTATATTTATGCATTTAAGAACAAAGTAAACTCATCCCAGAAATGAGTTGAGATTAGCTGGACATGCGCACTTATGGCTGTGCATTTGGGAATATCTCCTCTTGTAGCTGTGCATTGTAATATTTCCTGTTGACGAGCATGGCTGCAAAAGTTGTGAGGACGATTTTGGCACAGCATCCCAAGAATAAGAATAGCTTAGCGGAATGTCTGCAAAATTTCTTGAGGCTTGACCTATTTACTGCACTGGTAGACTCTTACAGCATTTTACCTGGACCATCCAATAGATTTCTGTCACGAATGGACTTAAAGCGACAGTAAACATTACCAACGTCCCCCAGTGAAATATCAGCACGTCAGTGTTTAAAAATAAAAAGGTGCTTTTATAGTTAAGGGTGGACTGAATCCTGTTCTTGGATTGATGTTAAATTTATGGGAGGATATGATTTATACGGGAGAGGGCTACTAATAGATTAGGAAGGGGTTGCAATTCAGATTTTTGAAGTGAATTGTAGTCCACTTATCCCAAATAAAAAATCAATTGACATTATATATTGAATTTATTTCAAATACGGACGTCGTTTGCATTTCAAAGGAGTTTGTGAACTGTTCTGCGACTAAGTTCGCAAAGGTAATGCAACCTCACAGTTAATAAAAATGGCATTTTAACTACCTAAACACAGTGGTGGTTCATCATCTTCACTATTTATCATCTTCCCCAAACACAAACCACTGAAGCACACTTGTGGCGAACGATGCTCGTCATGCTCTCTTCTCCCTTCAAAAATTGTTCATAGTCTTCTTCATCCTCTCAAACTGTTTATATTTGGGGAAAATTATTGATCAGTTATTGTCGTCTTCTTCCTCCTCCAAAACTGATTGAGGCAGTGTTTAAAAATAGGTTTATTTTGGGCCAAGACCACACCATTAAGCGAGTAAGGTTTAATTGATTGCTTTTGCGGTTTAGTGGGCTGTGGAACCAATGATAAGATTCCAAGTCAGTAATAAAATATATAGGGCCTGTACCTTTTACAGTGGAGCCCATCAATTTATTACTTGCGTGAAACCCCACAGCCCATTAAACAGCCAAAGTATTTAATTAATCTAAATTCTCATTAAGCAGTTATTGGCGTTTGAAAAATAAACCCAAAAAGTATTTATTTAAAAAATAAATGCTTATTCTTAGGAGGGGTGGAGTTAGGATTTTCACTTAAGATGAGAGGGGCCAAAATATAAGTGAGGTTGAATTGGGTATTGTGGGGATTTTCAAGGCAGCCCCCTCTGCTAGCGACTGCAACCCTTGACTCCGCCCCTACTAATTGAAGAAGCACAAAATGTCCCCAATTAGATTTTGATTCCAGCACAAAATGCTCCTGATTAGATTTCAAAATATCACTTATGCCCTTTAATCGTTCAAAAAATAGGGTTTGTTCTTTAAACTGCAACTCGACCGGTTAATCGGGGTAAGGTATCCTCTGTTTTCTTTTTTCTTTTGTTTTTTCATCCTCAAATGGTCAACCAAGTAGAGTGTTTTTTTTTTTTTTTTTTTCATTTTGTTCTTCGAACTAGGTAGTTTCTTCCTCATCACCTTCTCATTATAACAACGATGGAACTACAGCTCACACCAATCAACCAGGTAAATTATGCTCCCTTTTCGTTTTTTTGTTCGTTTTCTCGTCCTCAATCGATCAATCAGGTATTCATTTTTTTATTTTTCGTTTTGTTCTTCGAACCAGCCCTAATAAGATGTGTTTTCCTCTGTTTCAGGTTGGGGCTTTTCAAGCTCAAAGTTGGATCTCCGACCAAGTTAGTGAAGTCCTCTCTAAACATTTGTTTTTTTTTTTTTTCATTTTAAAAAACGAATATTGGTAATGGTTATTTTTTGCCCTAAATCACTTTTTTGCTTGAATGTCGATTCTTTATGATTTTGCCCCAAATCCAACCTGCTACTTAGGGGTGAACATAATTCGGTTAAAATTGAAAAATAGAACTGAAAATTTTGATTTTAGTTTTTTCAGTTTTGATTTTTCGGGTTTGGTTAATTCAGTGTTTGAATAACTTGATTTTCGGTTTCAGTTTTTAGAATTAAAAATTCGATTAACTGAATAAAGTGAATTAACCGAACTTTGATATATAATATATAATATATTATATTATTTATGTATTAATATATAATATAATGAAATTTGCTTTCATAATATATATAGTATATATATTATTAAAATTTGGTTTTAATAAAAAATTTTAGTTTCGATTTTTATTTTTTTAAAATCAGTTTTAAAAATTTTAATTTATTTAACTCGATTTTTAATTGAATAAATCAAATGCTCACCCCTACTAGTATTCTTTAACATGACCATAGCACGATTTAAGTTCAGACCAACCTTGGATAGGTAAATAGGACGAGTTCAGGCTAAATAGGACAAGTTCAGGCTTGGCCTGTATGTATCAACAACTGACATCCCCCAAATTATAATTCTACATTTACAGCAGATTCCATATTAGACCTGATTGACCAAAAATCCACAGTTTATATTTCACATGGAGTTTTCTATAGGATTTTTTTTTCATTAACTAATCTTAAGAGTACTAATTGTTCAGAAACAATAAAAGAAAGAAGACACCTAAA